AAACCGTATGTACTTGAAATGGCATGCGGCTCAGGGCTCAAGTGGAAATCTAGAAAGAAAAAATCACCAGGCACATTTACATACAGACCCAGACAATTAATACAGAAGAGAAGACTTGTAAAACGGATTTACGCTTGAATAAATAAATATTAATTAGCTCCTTGCTTTTTTTTGGGCAAATTGAGTGCTAATCTGGAATAATTTAGCACTGGAATAATCAAAATGAGGCTTGATTACGAGGATAAAGTAGCAAAAAATGTGGAAAATAGTGTGAATAAAATTTAAATATCATAACTACATTTAAATTTCAGTTGAGATTGGCTTTAAATGCTATCAAACCTTAACATTGTAGCAAGTATTAAAAGAATAAATGAAAAATCCGTTAATTTTATATCAACTCCATAATCTGAAATGACTTTTTATGTTTTTCACTTATTTTTAATCACGTTAGAAAAAAAATTGATTCGTTTCAGAGAAAGGAAAAACCTAGAAAAGTATATTCACCGGTTGTAATATTAATAAAGTAATTAAACCTGAAACAAATTAAATATGCAACCTGCACACCATATAAGCTGTGCGCGTTGCATAGACTCACAACTGCAGGAGATTGACGTTGACGTTGCGTGACCGGACAAGTACCGTAACCCCTTCTCTCCTGGAGAAGGAAATTGGGTCGTAAAAATTAAAATGGCGAAATATCTCACCGAGCGAGTGCATGCCGAGTGCGCGTCGTTTGTACTCGAGCAACACATGCGAGACGGCGTTAACACACGACCACCCACCCGGCTCTAGAGCAATTAAGCTCCGGCCCTTTAACATGTTGTCGCAGTGAGACTACATCAACACACCGACATTATGCATTTCTTGCCCCTTCTATGTTTTCCAAGTCTTGGCACGGCGCGCAAACTGGCCGTGTTGCCGCCGCTCATTTCATACTTTGGCAATTAGGACGAGAAACGTCCAGACGATCCGCCTTTTGACCACGTCCCGGATAATTTGCCGCGATACATATTCTCGGCCGCTTTTTGCTCTCTTGAACCCGCTCCAGCCCGAGACAATCGGCGCCACCCGCTAATTTACAATTCCATTCGTGACGCAAACGACCGCGGCGATCTTAACGAGAGTCGTGCCGTAATTCGTCTTGGTCATGTCCAATTGCGTGTGATTATGTTTCCAAACGAGCTCCACATAAAAATTGAAGTGCTCTCGTTGAGGAAGAAAAAAATGCATTACAGTTCCATATCATTTGCATATTTTAAACTGGATGATGAATCATACAAAAAAAATAATGAGCATTTAATGGTACAAATTTACTTATAAGTATTAATTATTCCCCAATCAAACAAGTAATCAAAGATTACAGATTAAATTTGTTCCACCAAATAATTTTTATAATAAAATAATTAATTTTAGCAATAAAATATCAAGAATAAATTGTTGAAAGGAAAAACAAACGATGTTTAATGTATCAGCTGCACAAATAAACTTAATTAGAACATAAAAATATTAAATTAACACAGAACAGAAATCTTCTGCAGTAGTTGAATTATAATTTTTAAACAATGCAATAATTATTGTATTCCAATAACTTCAAAATATCGGTTTTTGTAAACTTTCAACCATTTATGTAGCCAAAAACATTGAATATTTACTAGCAAGTAAAAAATAAATAGACTGGTTTAATTAAATTTTACTATTTTTAATGGCTACAAAAATTAGATAATACTTCATTAAGAATGACAATATAATAGCAAGATATAATTGTTAGTTTGTGACCAAGTTTAATATTTAGACATTTTAGACACAACGAAATAATCACAAGATTTATTGTAAAATCTGTTGGGGCCGTGAAGAAGTTGAAACTTTCAACTTCGCACATTCGCCACATTTTTTTACCGCCATTGTTGCACAACTTTCTACATTTTACACAAATTTTTTAGAAGTTTTTTACGACCCTTGCTCCTTTTAATTCAGAACTCACATCTGAAATATTCATGCCTCTCCACATTTATTCAAAAATAAGCCTGTGGAGAAGAAAATACAAAGTCTTTTGGGAACAACTTTCAAAGAGGCTCCTCTTCTTGGGTGTTACTAATCTCTGCCTCGGACCTTTACTGAAAGTGCCACAAACTTTCTGGTCCTTTCAGCCGAGCTTCCATCTGTGTGTGTCCGGCAGAGTGATAATAATAATAATAATCAGCGCTCCTCGCAGGCTTTGAATGCAAACACAAAACACAGTGAGAGACCAGGGCTTGCTTTTATTGCAGGCGCAACAAGGGCAGTGTTTGAGTGAAAATGCAAATGAGAGCAGCGGCTTTTAAGTTAGCAAAAGTACACTTTCTGCCCATTGTTGAACGGCGGCCCGGTATGAAAGCTGGAATTGATTCCGCCCGCCAACAATGCGAGTCCATATTTTTACTTTTTATTATTATTTAATCTCGGCCGTTACAATTTCATGCATTAATTTGGGTGGATTCATTAAAATTCCAGCGGCGAGCGTGTTGTTTTAAGAAAATAAATATACGATTCTGGTCCGCACATTTTCACCGAGCTCTGCATAAATTTCCACAGATAAACCGCACATGTAATTTGCATTTGTATTGTTTCACTGGAGCTAGGTTGGGACGGGCGCCATAAAAGCATGTGTCTCCCGCAGAGAGTGAACTGTTTCCATCTACGAACGGGGTTAATTAATTTGATTAATACACTAATGTTTAAGGGTCATTAATTGAAGATAAATATGTGTGTGTTATTATAATCAATTCATTATTAATTTTGAAAAGCTTGGTGCGATTAAAAAATCTGAGACCGTGAAGGCAATTAGAGACCATTAACATTAGCCTTTTCAAAATAAGACTGTTCGTGGACAGGAAATGTCACAATTCTAGGCCCAAAATTGATTAAGACTTAAATTTTAACTCTTTAATTAAGCGTTTTCTTCATATTAAGGAGTAAATTTGCGATTGAAGAAGTCACATTAACATGTTTGCATACACTTATTCCTAATAAATACGAGATTGTTTTTAAGTTTACACAAATTTTTGTATTTTAGACAAGAAATTAGACATGGTTTGGATACAAAAATTTCAAAATTTAATTCAAAGATATTTCTAATAATTAATACTCACGTAATTAAAAAGTTTCTATTTCATTCACCAATTAAAGTATTGCAGTGACTGTTGACTATTTTAGTTTAATTAATTTTTTACTATTTAATATGATATTTTACGTGTTTATATTATTATAGGGTTTTTTATAATTTGTGCTATATTATTTTCAACTTGAAAAATGGCGGGAAAGCAGTGCGGCACGTCTCTCAAGAGAGAATGCACAAGAAGCGAGGACGATGCCAGGGTCAATGGTTCTGCAAACTCCTGCACGCCAAGTCATTAGGGATTTGCTGCATGTCGCTGAATAATTAAATATTTCTTTGTGTGCTCGGCGGCACGGAATGTAACATGTACGGCTGTACGCCTGAAATTCCGAGTGGTGGCGACGGCGGCACGAGAGGGTGTGAAAACGCCCCTTTGCTGTTTTAAATTCTTGAAAATAACGTGAGCGCCGCCGCCGGGGCAGAAAAAGAGAAGAAACAAAAACACACAGCAATTTTTAATTGCGACCGACGCCTCGCTACACCCGGATTATTTTCGCGCGCGCATCCTTGACCTGCGCTCTTTCTTTTATGAGAGAGAAAAGAAATAATTCCGTTTTAATTACAAAAAGCGGGCGCCGTTTTCAAGCTCGATGATTATGGGCGGTCGGAACAAAAACGGTGTCCCTTGTTTTTCGCTCGCGCCGAGGGAACAGTCTTATTATTACTGGAGGCTCGAAAAGACTTTTGTCGGATGACTTATGGGAGCTTTATTGCATTTATGTCGCCATTCGCCGCTTTTTGCGGATTCCCTCGCTCGATGTATCACGTGCTTTTTGCCTTCGCAGGCAATTTATTAAAACAGTCCATAAACACCATTAATTAGCTCCTTTCGTCACATTGTCCTCTTTTTATCAGTGGCTGTTTCTTTTTTTCTGTTAAAGACCCGCATGCAAATTACTCACGAAAGATCTGGAGCTTCACACGACGAACATGTATAAAAGCAAGTCAGGCTGGCATGAAAAATAGAGCCTTTTTCCTGCAGGCCAAATCCCTGCTCCCGGCTCTCGGTCCTCTCGTAATACACACACTGCACGCGCTACTTCTTGTGCGAAATCTGATGCCGGCGCGCTAATGCCGCTGGCCCTGGACCGTTTTCAGCCGGCACGTACTGCGAGTACATATCATCAATCAACGGGCATAACTTTATTTTGAGAGAGAAAGTAGACAGATAGACATTATTTGCCGACACGAGCATCCACTCTGCTTGATGAACTAATTTTGAGCACCGAGATTCTTGTTCCTCTGACTGAATGAGATGAAGAACATACTTTTTAGAGAACGAAACCAGAATGTTAAAAAATATTTGAAGCTTTTTGAAAATTTTCACTTTATTAAAAAAAAATTGGTTAACTGCGTAAACCTATTTATTTTGTTTCAATTAAAAAAAAAACTAAAAATTTCTCCCAAGTAACAATAGAATGATTTTATTATTTTTCAGCAGCTCTCGAATTATGGCTTCAATATTATTTATAGTTTTATCTCATTAAAGTTAATTCATATATTTTTTTCTAATTCAATCTTAACCCTAATGACCCTATCAACCCCAATAACCCTAATTATTCCGCTAAAAAAGGTTGCCCATCACATAATATATGGTTACCTATTTTTATATTTTTCATAATCTTCTACTACAAACCATAATTACCTTTAAAGCCAGAACATTTCGATTTAAAAGGGATGTAACCATTCTTCATGATGTCCTTACCTGAAACAAAAATTTAAATATTTATTGAAAATAGAATTTATAGCTAACTGCATTTTTTATCATTAAAAAATTTTAAATTAAATATTTAGGATAATATTTTTTGCGTGGTATTGAATTGCAATAAAAATAAGCATGTTTACTGTTCTAAATACTTGCAAATTTATTTATTTTTGGATACAGAATACATTTTCATAATTATCTAACAGTAAGATACAATAATTAACAGGTAAAAGAAGTATATTTCTTTCAGTTCTTAATAAGTATGCATTTTTTTTTAGTAACATAGTTCTATGAAAAATATTTGATTAAAACATTTAAAAAGTTGAAATTGCTAGGATCCCAACACCTGCTAAACTGTATTAACATGGATTTAAAAAAAAAATGGTTTTATGCACTATTAATTCGAGCATGAATCCAATTGATGATGTTCCATTGTGCCACTCTAGCAAATCCATTGGGGTATCCACTGTTGCAACCACCGATTACAAAAGAGTTGATGCCAACTTGCACGCCATTAGCCACCAATGGTCCGCCAGAATCACCCTTAGAGATACGAAATGAATTAATACCGTGGGATGGATTGTATATAACAGCAAAGTTAATTTTTTTTTACATAATCTTATTGAATATCTGCGAAAAAATTATTTGTTTCAATTATCAAATAATTGCCTAAACTAAGCAATTTTCTTTGTTCTACCAAACCATTAATGAAAATTCTACAATGAAAGTTGCTATATTTATTTGCACCTGTGGTGATTAAGAAGAGAGTTTAATTTTTGATGAATTATTATACGAGGCAAAGTTGCTTTGCATCGAACGCAATAAACAAATCTTGAAAGTAGCAAAATAGAAGATAATTAAATGTTTAGAAAACTCACAAAGCAGACAGAGGGTGATCCTGTTCCTGCACAAACCATACTTTCAGAGAAAGACCAACGTGTATTGCATTGTTGAGCGCTGAGCATTGGAATTCTTGCATACAGGAGCTCAGAAGGTGCTTGTCCCGATTCCTGAGTGACGAGGATAAGATAAAATAAAGTATTTACTAATTAGTCCAAAGAAAAATCTGCTAGCCTGTATCAAATGCAACTGTAGATTGTAAATTTAAATAAATCAGTATAAGTTAATTTAATAGCGAAAAAACAGGAATCAAAAATATTACCGTCTGACCCCATCCAGAAATAAGCGCCATGGTATTGCTAGGGACGATGTATTCATAAGGAGGAAGTCCAATTGTTCTAACAGTAGACGTCCAAATGAACGGCGTGGATATCTATTCAATAGTTTAATTTATTTAAATGATTATTGTATTTTTATAAAAATAAAATACTTCAATGAGCGCAACGTCATAGGCAAGGGTGTCACTGTTCCAAGACGGATGCACAAAAATTCGAATGGCATTTCGGACGACGGCATTTCCACCATTCATTGAGGTAGTGCCAGCTCGCACACTCACTTGATTTATCGGGAATCTAGTTAGTACAAAAAAAAAAGATTTCTTACATATCAGTATAGACTGTGGAATGCATAATTTCTTTTCTTAAAATGAAGTAAATAATAAAATACAATTTTCCTATTTTAACATAAAAATATTTGGATTTGCAGTGCAATTATTATTTACCCTGGGATAATGCAATGGGCAGCAGTTAGTACAAATCTGGATGAAATTATGGATCCTCCACAACGGTGGCCACCATTATGTCTCATGGAGACCTTTGGAAAATGAAAATATTTAATATCAAGTTAAAATACCGCTTCCTTTCTATAATAGTTCAGTGAAAAATAAATTTACATTTAATAAAAAGTTATTTAATATCATATAATATACCTGATAAGGGAAATTTAGAATGTTAGCTTGTGCTCCCCCAAAAATCCTAGAGCCATTATTCATTGGTCGCCTTGTAGTTGTGGTTTGATTCAGTTGATTTCCATCCTCAGATAATCCTTTAATAATTTAAGATTAATGAACAACAATAATGTAGTTTCCGAACTGAAAAGAAACTGTCTCAAAAATACCAACCTGCAAGTTCTTCGATAGTTTTGGTGATAATGACTGGATCACTTTGGATTAAAGTCACCAAAGTGCAGAGTAGGAGAACAGAAAATATTTCTTGAGGAGCCATTTCTAGAAATGAATTTGTTGTGGCATCTACAGTAAGCCTTATATATCAAATCCAGACTCATAATCTTGAAATTGTTTTATTATTTTACCGCAGAGTTCACTCAAGGACAAAATAATTTAATTGGTTTTATTGTAGCATCTTGTGACAATTAGTAATAATAATCAAGTACTAAAATTCTTGAAAAAAATATAATCAGGTAGTTAAATTTTGTATTTAGAGGTTATATGCTTATTAATATTTGAACTATTTATTTAGCAAAGTACACGTTCAAAATTTTGTAGGCATATCGCACTAGTGGAATTAAAGGTATTAGTTTTCAATTTTGATATCTGCTTTTATATGCATTATTATCAATATTTTTTTTTTTTTTTGTGAATTGGTAGCAGATTTTGACTGAAACTGCTAAAGCAATATTCATAGTTTCATAAGAGCAACTTTCACAACAAGGTCAGTCTTCTCTTCTCCTTGAGTTTCATTTCATTTATTATTGAACAGTAAATATTTTTTTCAGAGAAAACTGAGAAAAACATTTTACGTCAAATACAGTCATTTCATTTATTGATTAATTGTCTTCAATACGGTAATTTCACAACAACAAAATCATATCTAGCAAAGTACGTTTCTCGAAAAATATAATAACAACAAGAGATAAGAATGTGACTTTGAAATCAGAGCGTCAGAGACAGATTTCTATTGCGGCTATTTTGTTATCAGAAAAGTTGATCATAAACAAAATGCAATTAAAAATTGCGCTGCTTCTGAAAATTTCACCATCATTTTTCATCTTATCATCAGTAATGAAAAAAGAAAACTTTCATAATTTCAATTTATTGTCGGTTTATTAACCACACATTTGGTAAACATTTGTAATTTATTTTGCGTCTGATAAAATTCCAAGACAGAGCCTTTTGATGAGAAATATCAAAGAGTGAAGTTTCAATAAATTACCAATGAAAATAATATAATGTTTGGTAGCAATCAAATCTTGGCGCCAGGAATTCACAATCATACTTTTTACAGCAATTTTGCATAAAGATCTAACAAAAGCCAATTGTGGCGTCGTACAGGGACCTCAGGCAATGATTATTAATGCTGACGTAAACTCCTCGTCATAAAGTTTGCATCGGCGGCAAGAGCGAATCTTATCTCAATTTTTACAAAGATGATTCTCTCTGCTGACGAGGTGAACAGCGATTTCGCTTTCACTCTCCGTTATTCGACTGGCTGTAAATGAAACATATTATTCTCTTGCAATAAATTTGAGCTCTTCTATACTGCGTTTGAAACAGGAAATTGTAAGTATTTTGGGCTTAATTGAGTTTTTTTATCACTGAGACTTATATTTTAATTTTTGTCTAGGTTTTCCAACTTTTATATATAGATTATTTATTTTAAATAAGCAACCAAAAAATGATCTTCAACAATCTTAAAACAGTACAAATAATATAAAATGTTTTTTTTTTATATGTTGCAAAAGATTTATTTTAAATCTCTGAAACTCTTTGAGCCTTAATGGAAAAAAAGGTCTTTGTCAATTCCAAACTTCTCTCATTCTTATATAGTAAAATATTTCACGGGCAAAGTGCTGAAGAAGCATTATTTCGTGACTTATCGAGGTGCCTGTTGGTGCGATTCGACGTCGTTTCGGACAAATGAAATTTCTTAACGATTCGCCGAGTGGCCATTAAACACCTCGTTCACATGAGAAACGGGCCGCCGCTCGGCAGGGCACAGCATCTGGGCGAAACCGCACTCCGGCCTGCGTGATTTATGACCTCGAGGATGCTGTGCAATATTGCGCGCACAAAGGCTCGCGTGAAAATTCATGCACGGAGGTTCTCCTCGGGCGAGACGTTTCACTTAAGTCGGCTGCTGATTATATACCGGTAACGCCAAACCAACCGGACGCGCTTGTAAGTCACTCGCCGGCTGATGATGTTGTTAGTCGGCGCAGAGCTTAACAGACAAATAATTATTCACGCTGGGCCATTAATTATCTCCCACTCGGCAGCGTGTGTTGTGTGATAGCTCGTGACCAACACCCAAGAGCAAAAGGTAATTTATGCGATAAAATAATTATACAATAACAGAAAGTTCTAATTTTTAGTAAAATAACAAAATATGTTTTAAGTTTAATTCAAAAGCATTCAAAAGAGCAATCATTATTTGATATAAAAGTCAACAATCAATTTGGTATATGATTTTAATTTTTTGCATTTTTTTAATATTAAAAAATTCCTTTCAAAGATTAAGTTTTTTATGATTCACAGATTTTTCCAACTACCGGCTCTGAAGATTCTGGAAATCAAATTAATTTTTAATTGCGTTCACTTCATGAAAGTATAACTCAAGCATTATTATTGCACAATGCGAAACTTCAATGTTTGTTTCTGAACGCATGAAAGAGTATTGCATTAACTTTTCCTGGTCAACGCATCACTACTTTTTACTCTAATGCAATCACAAGTTTCGTGTAACAATATTTTACAGCTGGTTTAATCAACATCTTGTTGACACAAGTGTAATTATAATTATGTGAAAAGAAAAAAGAAAGTCGATATTTTTATTTTCTGCTACAAGCAGTGCTCTCAATGTGTAATTGTATTTGCATCGTTGAACACGCTTTTTTATGTTAGTTTATAGACTTTGTTAATGAAAGTGAGGCTTCAAAAAAACCTTAATTATCATGTTTGTTATTATTATTTATTCTACTCAAGTCATGCTGATTTGAAAAATTCCAAATTTAAAAAGTTTATTTTCATTAATTACAGTATTTATTTTCCCTCTTTTTTACCATTAACTAAAAAAAGCTTTCAATAAATATTTTCAAGTAAATAATTTTTGTCTGATCAAATATTAAATTCAGTTTATTTTCAGCAACCATGGTATTTTCCTGCAGGAAATACTAAATATATAAATTCTGCAATTTTAGAGGAAAGAAATTAATATAATTTAATCTATTTAGTTATTTTTTCCATCTATGAGTTTCTTTCAGCTGTATAAAATCAAAGATGCCAACAGCTTGGGTCTTAATTAGAATTAAAATTTTCTTTTTAAATTTTAATGGAAATAAATCTTGAAACTTGACTGAATGAATCTGTAAGAAAACTTGTAAAATTTTTGTTTCTCCGCACTTTGTGCCAGGGTTCTCTCCTTTCACCATGTTTCGCTCTCTTTTCCGCATTACGCTAAGTGCTTTTCCTGATATATTTAAATGCTGGCAGTGTGTCTCGAGTGCGCGAGCGGCGTAGAGAATGAGATTGCTTGAGCGCGCGTTCCGTGCGTCCACGTCCCAGTAGGCCTATTTGTCATTATACGGCATCGCTTTGTCATTGCTGCGCGCGTCCTTTAATTTGATTCCATCTCGGCGGAAGATATCATCTCTCTCCACTATTCAATTCCGGCCGCCGAGCATTTCCAACACGGAAAGATAATCCGCCATCATTTTGCTTTGTCCCCATATGGAATAAGAATAAGGAGCTCGTCGAGAGGAGAAGAAGAAGCCTTTTCAACTCTCGTCGGCCGAACAAACGTACATCTGTAATGAAAACTGTTCGCAGAAATGGAAGATTGCCATCTATAGAGGAGAGTGTAGTGGGCGGAATTCGCATTGTTTCTTTAGCCATTATTCACAGCTAGGACGTCTTAACTCCGTCAGGTTGCAATTGGTTGGCTTTATTAATTGGAAAAGTATCAAAGCTGTTTTATCAAACGAAAGTGGAGCTGTTTCTGTTAAAAAGAATATAAAATAATTTTAATCAGTCCAAAATTTACAAGATTTTAAGTAAAGTTTTTAATAATTTTCATAAGTAGAGAATTATAGATTAATAATAATAATAATAATGATTATACATATTTTATAGATTAATTAAATTATAACAATGATTTAACTTTGATTTATTTTGTAGATGCAATATAATCATATTCCCCTGAGATAAAATCAACAATTTAAGAAAATTTATGTGCAGTAAAAATAACAAATTCAGATTTATCTTTTTTTTTTAATTAGATATGCAGATATGAAAGCAGGATAATTTAGCACATTTAAGCAATTAATTTAATTAATCTATTTTTTGTTGAGTTTAAGTGATTTTAAGTATAATATTTAAAATGATGACAAACTAAATATACATATGTGTTAAAAAAATTACTTCTCATAATAGCAGAAAAATTCTCGGTGCCTGATGCGATTTTTTCATTTAAAAATCTGCGACGTTTCTCTCTTTCACACATTGTACGCTCTCTATAGGAAATATAATCACACATGCCGAAAAGAAGATATTAAAAAAGTGAAAAGGAAAGATATCCGTCGAGCAAAAAAGGCGACTCTCGACTATTAAAAAAGTGTTGCCTTTTCCAAGAGTTTCCTCTCGTTTTCGCTTCAGTGGAGGGTGCGAGCGACACTCCGCCAATTCAGCGGCAGAGGAGACGCGCACACTTGTCCGCGGCTCGTTTCTCCTCAAAAAGGCGTATGTACGAATTCTCGCCGAGGTCCACTGGGCACGGAGAAAGAATTCCCAAATAACTCGAGGGTCATCGAATATTGCGCGTCTCATTCTCGACACCTCTGCGTTTTAAGCCGCGCCAAATTACAACCGGAGGGTGAAAAATAAAAATAAAAGAATTCGTAAAGGGGAAGAAACACGACACGTGTTTGCAGAAAAGGTTTCAGAGAATCAACAGAAAAAAACTGCCGAGCACAAAAGATGGAGTGACTGCTTTTTGCTTGATGGTTTTTAAAATGAATGGAAAAGACGGAGCGAGAGAAAATGCGAAATTCGACATCGGAGTTAGTGATTAAATATATAAAAAAATATACGAAGAAAAAGCGAAGGCGAAAATGGAAAGAGGAAAGTGATTTTTGCGCCAGAGAGCTTAACCACAGGGCCTTTTGCCTTAAAGACGAATTTTCCGCCTTTGAATATGTAATAATGATGTTCTGTGGTTCCACCTTTTTGTGCGAAATTGAGGAATGAGATTTTTGAGCAAGAGAGCGATGAATGCGAAA